TATTGGTGATAATGTGTGAGTTAGGTTCATTCTTAAATGATCAATTAGTGTGTCAATGTATAACCAAACTCCTGACTAATCATTAACTATTTTTTTAATTAATTATTCATGGTCAATTTAGTTATTTTGTTAATTCTCAATAAATTTTTTTCTAATTTTCAAAATTTTATGTTGATTAATAAATGATGAACGTAAATTAAGGTTCGTGGGTCATCGATTTTCAAATTAGTTTGTTTACAAAGAAAAAATAGTTGCTTCTTTTTCTTTAGGGTTATACCCCTGGACACACAAACAAAATAGTTTTTTTATGTGTGGATCAAGAATAGAGTGGCAACAACAACCAAAAAAAAAAAAAATTGATGGAGTTTGTTGCCTTTTTGATCCGACAACAATAACAAAAAAAATGTTTTTATGTTATGGTATATTTTAATGTGGTTTGCTTTCTTTTTGATTCAAAGACAGTAACAAAAAAAATGTTTTTTATGTTTTGGTTTTGCAAGAACATAAAAGAGAAAAAAAAAATTTGCCTTTTTTTTCTTTGGACGTAGCTACACACAAAAAAAAAAAGGTAATTTTTTTTTGTTTTTAGTCGAACGTCACTTGCACTACTTGACAGAAACGAAGGAGACAAGAAATAGAGACAAACGAAGGAGACAGACATTAGTGACTCATTTCAAGATGAGAAACTAGGCATTCTTTCAAGAATTAACAGTAGTTAACGGAAGCTTTACATTCAGTAATACTCATTCTTTTAGTTAAAATTTTATACATTTTTTTTGTTTTGATGTAAAATTTTCAATAGAATACGTAGATTCTTTTGTGTTCTTTCAAAAATAATAACACACTGTTAAAAGAGTGTGTTTGTTTTTTATGTAATTCTTTCATGAATGTATCAGTTTTAAAGAATGATTCTAGATTTATTTGGATTTTTTTTTTGTTTCTGATATTTCTTTTGAGGAATGTGTTTGTTTGTTTTTCAATTAATATTCTTTTAATAATGTTTTGCTCTAACAAAATTCATATTTTTCAAGAATGAAAACGTAATAAGTCAAGAATGTATAATTTTTCAAATACGTTTTCTTAGAATGTTTGTATTTTTTGCACACATAAAAAATAAAACAATTCCTCAAAATTCGGATTTGATTATTATGTTGCCTAAAATAATGATACACAAAATGTCCATATTACCCCTTAAAAGGATTTGAAATTTGAATTAAAAAAAATAATAATAAATATAATCATATGTATTTAATTGTCTTATGTATATATTTATTCTTATGCATATGCATATACTTATTTTTATGCATATACTTTTTATGTCGAAGCACATCTGTGAAAGCAATCGTTTTACCCTAGGTTTAGGCTGGGTCATCTACATTTAGCTCTTCCTTACCATATGAGATCCTAGAATATGTTGATGTTCTTGATTCAACCTTTTTCTAGAACTTAATTCTTCTATATCCGGGACCAACATAGAAGTGTTATGATGTATGTGTGTTCAAAAATCTGAACGTATTAGTGTAACTATTAGTATTTTTTTTAAAACAAGGGCCTTTTTTTTTTATGTTTATTGGATTTGAAAGGAAAACTAATCAAATTTATGACCAAGGTGATATGAACTATGAAATATGATTTCTCTTCCACATACACTAAGTTTAATAGAATGACAAACTATGAAAAAAAGAAAAGCCATTAACCACACATTTATAGATTCTTTTGTGATATCAAAAATAATATTTAAAGTATACCATTAGTTGTACGATATAAATAGTTAATAGCGGTGTGTAAAAGGTTCGGTGTAAGAGTTTTGTTTGGCAAAATAAATAAGAATGCATTAATAGAGTAACGTAAACATGGTTTAGATGTGTAACATGGAAAACAGTTAAAGCAAAATGCTTTTGGTTTTGTGGTTGAGGTTGATAGATATATGAAATGGTAAGAGTACGTGCCACAAGGCAACAATAATGACCATAAACTTACTTAGGGTTAGGGATGCATTCATTTTCATGAAAACTAGAAATCCCATTTAAATAACTACAAATATAATTTTTATGACGTTTCACCATAATAGAAAAACAATCATAAATGATCATATTTTTTACAGTTATTACAATATGATCATTCATTATTGCAACATATAAAATGCCTTTCATTTGCAAAAAGAGCTTTACGAAGGATAAAAATAATAATAATAATAATAATAATAAGTGCACAAGAAATATGAGTATTCATAGTAGTTTTAAAAAATTGATCGTTTTGTGAAAAAATGATCATTCATATCCTTATTATATATCTATTAACACGTAGTAAAATTTAAAGCATTGAGTGGAAAACTTTATCCCTATTTAATGTCGTTATTTTATATTTAATCACT